TATACATATCTTCTGTTTCTCTAGATATTATATGTTATTATATCTCTATATATCTGGACATACACACACACACACACACACACACACACACACATCTTGTTTCTCTACTGAGCACTGACTGATACAGTTGCACAGGCTGGTCTTGAACTTGTGATCCTCTTGCCTCAGCCTCCCAGAGGGCTAGGATAGCAGATGTGTACTACCAAGCTGTCGGCCTCCTTCATTCTTAATGACCACCTAAAACATGGAATAAATACACATGCTGCATTGTCTCACACCAACTGCACCCTCCTCCTGGAGCAGGCAACTTTCACACACGCCGGGCACTGCGCTGGGCTCCTGAGCTCGGTGACAATGTAACTGCGCACCAGGCCTTTAGTGAGCCGGCTGGGAAAGCGAGCTGAGATGTGATTAGCAGGAAACAGTTAGGAAGTGATGAGAAAACATTGAAAAATCCAGGTGGAAACCCCCACATGTAACACAAAGGCACTGCTTGTGGTGTGGTTTAAGCCCTTTCGCCTAAATATGCTACTCTTTAAAAAATATGGGTGGTTCGTATATAGGCCGTGACTTGGTAACTTAAGGATTTGTTATGTTTCTGTGACAACTGCTTATTTAGTGATGTTACTGCTCTGTTTTTATAAATTGCATGAGTTATAACATTGTCTTATTTCCAAGTCAAGATCTCAGCAGCAAAGCTCAGTTGTGTTTGTGTACGTGTACAATGGCAATGCTTCCTCCTTTATTTTTTGCTGAGGCCCTCAGTTGTGCATGGGAATGCTGATGTTATGAGAAATAGTCTTTCTGTTATGATTTAAAAGGGCGTAAAACAAACCCCCAGGACTGTGCCCCTCATGCTAGCTTACTGTGGCCTAGCAAGCCACGCCAGAGGTCCTCACTTGGCAAGTGGTGCTCGGTCCTGTACTTGACTTCCAAGCAAAACCAAAGCGTCAGATAATGACACTCTCAGATCACAGGTGCCATGGACAGAATGGCCTCAGTAGTGTTTCCTCTCCTGTTGGAAAGTCCTTCCTGATTTTTGAGTGAATGTAATAATTAAGGCAGTCTAGGTTTTGGCAGACAAATTTGTATTCATTTTACATGCAGTTCTTATAGCCTCTGAAATATTTAGCAGTGTGTGGGGATGTGAGTCACTGCTTAACATAGGGTCAGGATTGAGGCTCGGGTATTAAGTGATGCAATTTAAAATAAGGCTGTTATTCCTATCTCATTATATTTATAGGCCTCCATAGAGATGGGCGTGGCGATTTCATAACTAGGCTGTGTGAATGCTCCCGGGCCTGCGATATTCCAGAAAAATCTCTGCTTTTTCTTCTTGAACCTGCAGGATAACTGCAGAGATGAAACCCTTCCTTCTGGCTGCCTAGGCCTGACTCATACTCAGCCCTACTCTACTCTACCTCCTGGGGCACCGGATTCCTCACTCAGGATCCAGATCACATTGTGAGAGGTTTCATTTCATCAGAAATCTTTGACAGAGACTTCACCGGTGAGATAATCCTGTCGTCCTTTTAGCAATCATGTTTAAAATGCAATTCCAAGCCAAATTTTATAATGTTATCAAAAAGATGCCTATCCAACTGCTTAACTCTTGGGAGAAAAAAAAATTCACACAATATTCCAAAATACTCCAAAATAAATTCAAGTACATAAAAGAATTAACTATAACAGTGCATCAAAACATAAAAATAATATGAAGAAGTATACTTAACTATTTGGCTCATGGAGAGGGAAGGCCTTTCTAAGATTAAAAACAATACAAAAAATCACAAAAGAAAATATTAGATTTTTTTCAAAAGCGTAATAAAACAAGTAAACATATGTTTGCTATTCATTAAAATTTACATTAGGAACTGAGATGAGCAGTGGACTGTGGTTGATTTTACTTATTCTTTAAACTTCCTGAATTTATAAAATTATCTACCACCACTAGGCATCTGTTTTGTAATAAGGAATGAAATCATTTTTTTTCATAATGATACAAGAAACATTTAACAGTGTGAAAAAATTATGATATTCTTGGCAGGAAAGCAGAATTCAAACTTATAAATGCGGTATGATTATGCTTAGGTGAAACTAAATCTTAAGGAAAGAAAAAAAAAAAAAAGAAATTGTACCCAAGTGTGATTATATCTCAGTCTAAGTGGTGGCACTATCGGTAGCTTTTTGTCTTCTAGGTAGATCAAAATGTATGAATTAACTTTAAGAATAGAAAAACGTCAGCCATCAGTTAAATAATTCATTCAATACATGTCAATTTTATAATGACTATATGTCTGGTGGCTACTGGACTTGCAAAATCATTGTGGCAGGGTCTTGGTCCTGGAAGAAATCACAGCGTACCATGCGTGATGAAGGAGATATGTGATTAAAAGTCCAAGCCATAATGGAAGTCTGGCACTTCTGCTACTGGACCTCAGAGGCAGGACAACTAATCCAGACAGGCTCGAAGGGGAGAGGAAGCGGGTTACACATCACACAGGGAGGCACCAAGCAATAACATCATGATCGGAAGGTTGAAGAAAAGGTTGTGTACGTCACACAAAAGGATGGCACCAACTTTTAAAATTGTGTGTATTTCAGATATAAAATGTTTTGATACATAAACACGTAGTGATTATAGTGATTATTAACATGTCCAGCAGCTCATATATAGTTACTTTTTAACTTTTGTGTGTGTTGTAAAAGTACCTGAAATCTACTCTCTCGGGAAATTTCCAGGATATAATGCACTGTTCTAACTACAGTTCCTATGCTGTACATTAGATCATTAGGTTTATTTAACCTGCATAACCATAACTGTTCTCTTGGACCTCTGAGTCCCTGTTTCCTCTTACCATGCTCCATGCCCCACTCCTGTTAGTCACTTTTCTTCTCTATTTCTATTTGTTCAGAGTTTTGAGTTTATTATTTTGTTTCTAGATTCCAAATATAAACGAGATAATGCAATATCTTTCTGTGTCTGGCTTATTTCACTTAGCATAATGTCTTCAGTTTCGTCTATGTGGTTTGCAAATGGCAAGATCTCCTTTTTAAAAAAGCTAAACAGTATCCTGTTGTGTATGGGTTTAAATACAATTTCTTTCTGATGGGCACTTCCGGTTGTGGAAGGCGTTATCTTAATGGGGTGACTGATGCATGAAATGCAAACATGGGAAGATTCTGGGATGACGCACTGGCTTCTGGCTCATGGCCACTGATGTCCTTTAACAAGAGCAATTCCTTTTTTGAGGTGAGAGGTTATCTCCAGTTTGGGCTGTGTGGAGTTTGGTGTACTTGTGAGATTCACTAATGGAGACATCTCTGAAAGTGGAGTTTGGAAGACAGATCTCAGCTGGAAACACAGCAGAGATTCAAGCTGTGAATTTGGATCAAAGACCCAGAGAGGAGGTGGAAAGTGGAAAGTGGACCCCAGACTTGGGCAGGGATCAGAGAAGAATAGATACTTAAAGAGGCACCTAAGAATCCCCCCAAAACAGAACTATGGTTAAGGGAGCCAAGTCCTGTGGAAGGGGCAGGGAACAAGAGCTGAAATACACTTGAAATCTGTGTGTGAAGAGAGAGCAAGATAAGAAAGTTGCTGGAGAGATGGACGAGAAGATGGGGTGATAATGTGGAGATTAAGATGCAGATGTGTGACACCAAGGCACAGGAAAACCTCCTGGTGCTAGGGGTTAGGCACTCATATACATACATATACATACATATATATATATATATTTTTTTTTTCTGTGACCTACCAAATTTAAAATATTATGTGCTACTTTTCTATAAACTTCTTCCAAGTTTAGCTCATGGTCAGAAAACGTGATATGGCCCTTGGATAGCTGCCAACAGTAGATGACTGGTTGTCTAAAGCTTGAGTTTAGAGCTCCCCCAAGCTCTGATAATGTCCTTGCCAAAGAGGTCCCTGCCCTCTGTACATCCAGTCACATCTCAGCTGCTCTGCCACCAGACTCTTTAAATGCTGTTTTTTCTCCACTGCCCTGGGCCCCTGCCAGGTCAACTGTCATCCAAGAGCCTCTATCAGATACCCCTATCTGTCTTCCCAAACCGAGAGACGGTGTCTGCTAAAAGGACAGCTAGATACATATCTGTTTCCTTCTGTTGAGCACGCCATGATTTCTGGAAGTGTGTCTGGAGTGAAGTGAGCCCAGTGACAGGCAGGACTGTGACAAAGAGGGCAGAGACCTGATGCTGGTTGGAGATCAGCAGTTGGAACACTGCCCTGTTGCGACACTTTGGAGATTCAGTAATTGTCTTTGCATATTTCTCTTAGTAGTGCGTGTGTTTCCTGGGGTGTGTTTTTGGTTTCTCCACATAAACTGTTGACCCTTTGAAGGCAAAGGGATTAAAGTTACATTTTCATATGTCTCTAGATTCAGGGATACTTTATGAAGTGTTTTAAACACAGCCTGCACCCTTTCTCTTCTTCCTGCTTTGAATCCAGACATGACATATGGAATTTGAGCAGCCATCTATCTCAGGACCCTGAGGTGACAAAGTGAGAGAAAGGTGGACAACATCACCAAGTTGCTAACCATGACATCAAAATGTTGAATCCATGCCAGCAACCAGTTTAATGCAATGTTTTTTTTTATACGAGAGAAAAAATTTGTTTTTGCTGAAGCCTCTTATAAGCCAGGCTTTCTGTTTCCTGCAACTAAATGCCATCTACTTCCTCCCTAGAAAAACCCCGATTTGTTCAGACACCATCCCTGCCTGACTCAGCATGGTGCCCCCGATGACTCCATAGGTCAGGGTGGCAGTGATTGGCCAAGTGTGAGCTCATTGTCCTGGCCGATGTTAAGGAACCAATGAGTTGTAGGGACTAAGTGAGGGAGCAGCCAGATCTGCCTCTCTCTCCTTCCTGTGGTTATTGATTTGCACAGTTGAGACTCGGAACTGCTGCGGTCGCCCTGGTACTCTCTCAGGATGATGCCAACACAAAACATGGCAGAGTGAGGACATCAAAAGAACCTGTGTCTTTGTTAAAAGCATTTTTCCATAGTATGACACGAACAAGAAAGCTTGCCTAAGGCCTGTCCTTCTGTTACTGTGAAAGGTCATTTCTTTCATTCTCCAACATAGTTTGAGTGAGACTTTTGTTGCTGGGCACCCCAAACACCCCCAGGTGTTTTTTCAATGTTTAGTTTCTGACTACCTAGCTTTTTATAAGCAAAGATAGATCATTTTACCAAGTAGATTTTAGCATTTTCAAAGGCTGAATATCATTGCATCCCACCTACCTTAAAAAAGTAGAAGCATTAGATACAGAGAGTAGTTCAGCTCTCAATGTATCCTGAAACAAATATTAACTTTACTGTGGTCAACCTGACCCAGGCAGAGGAATGCTCTGATTTATTAAATTCATACCCTAAGAAAAGTAGAGAAATTAAACCAATAATAATAAATTACTTTCCTTCTGAAGGGACCTCAGGAACCAATGACCCTCGGTGCTGAGAGGACCTGTGAAAGAGAGACCAGTGTCTTCTATCATCATAGGAGCAGGGCTGCTATAATGCATGTTTCACAGGATGTTGCATACCTTGACTCTCTCAAGGTTCTTCTCTCAGGTTCCTCTGAGGCCATGAAGATAAGGACCTTGGTGAATGACCTGTGGTTGGCAGAAGCCATTAATCCTCCTCTGTCCCAAGGACAAGAGTATCTTGAGGTGTGCCAGGTTCATACAACTGACATAGAGCCAGCAGGGAAAGGTCACCAAAATGTGTGAAATGGATGAACACAGGAGGCAAGTGGTATTGTTTCTAATCCTTCTCCTTTCTGCACCTGTCATACCCAGTACATTGTCCCCATAGTATTTAAGGGTCCATTGCTGAACAGGGCTGAGCCACGAATTGGGTCCATAGAGACTTGGTACAGCCTGTCCCAGGCCACTACATTTTGTTAGAAACATTCTGCAGAAGGTCTCTGCAGCCCCTGACCCCAAACTTTAAGCCCAGGACATTTTCAGAAGCTCTGAGCTGGAGGAGCAGTCTTCCCGAAAATGTTGCATGGGGACCCAGAATTTTCACGCTCACTGCTGGCTCCAGTCATTCAGTCTGTCATGTTCTTCTGAGAAGATGACAAATGCTTCAAAACTGAGATGCAGCCTTGTCCCTCACCTCCCAACGATGACAATCTGGAGGGTATGCTCCCAAATAAAGCCATCAAATGCCTATCTTGCCGTTGAGGCTCTCAGGAAGATATGTGTTCTTAAAGGGATGAAGTCTCGCACTCACTCTCATTTTCCACTTGCTTGTAGTATTACAGCCAGATATGCACTCTGAGGAGGTGAGGGCCATCAGGCTGCTAGGCAGGTGTGCCCTTTCTCATCACCACACCAAAAGCATCCTTCCTGCAGCTGTGCACTCAGTGGAAGAGCACAAACCCCCGAAAGAGGAAGATATCTCCTTGGTCATGAGTATTCAAGTAGCTGCACTTCGCTGCTGGAACCTCCAAAGAAGCTCTCAAATACGCACTCTGAATTTCAAC